ACCACATGTCTTTTCAGCACGTTTTGTCCTCACTCACGCACTCCCTGAAAAACTTCCCAGGGGGTCACCCATCCTAGAATTTCTCCAGGCCAAGCACGCTTAACTTTGGAGTTTCTAAGAGTTGGGTTCCCGAAAAAAAGATGCATCTTCTTGGTATGAGTATTCCAATCAAATCTATCAATACTAATCACATCACCCTCTCAAGAGTTGGGGTATTACAAGGTATGAGTATTCCAATCAAATCTATCAATACTAATCACATCACCCTCTCAAGAGTTGGGGTATTACAGCTCGCCAAAGGCAGCGCCAACGCCTCGCGCACCAATTCGCCAAGACTTTGGAGTCGATGGACGGAATCCGTTACGAGGCGGATCTAAAACTCAAGGAGCGTCGAGCGCCTCAACAGAGAACAAACGGCCCCTCCTCCAAACCAACAAGTGAATGGATCCAAGTCAAAAGGACACGTTCAACCCTTGAGGAGCGAATCCAGAAACGTCGCACGCTGCTTGCACACGCACGAAACCTTGTGCGGGAAGCGCGTAAGTTACAGAAGGAGGACATGGTCAAGGAACCATCAAAACCCCACAAAATTTGGATTCCAAAGTCCGAACCTGTGCGAAAATTAAATCGGGAGACATCATGAAATTCCTGGCTAAGACACTAATGGCTGTCTCGCCCAAAGAGCCAGCTCAGCGACTGCTTCCGTGTCTCCGACAGCCCCCGTTCCTGTTCCGATGGATCCCGTACTTCCAGTGAAGCCTCATGACAGTGTGGATCCCTCCCAATCCAAAATAACAATGGCAAATCGTCTTGGCTCTTTACACGAGGATCGAGGCAAAGCTCAAGTTAAACAACACTTGCGTCCGGTGAATGAACCTCGAGCAACTCGTCAAGCTGGGGGTCGCACACACCCTCGCAACAAGTCAGAGTCTTCTTATAATGGGAAAACCCATGTAACCGACCGCCTCGGATTGCGAATCATTGTCCAAGAGGAGCCTGTTGAGGCCCCACGCTCACGAAGGCGCGACTCTAAACATCTGACTCTTGAGAACGCCAACAAAGCATTAAAACCTCAGAAGGAAACGTGTTCGCCTGACGACGACAACGTTATACCTAGGAAGTTGTGCCAACATACGATAGGTTGCTCCGGTAATCATGCCGATGAGTTATACTATCGAGCTGGGAGTACGAACAGATCTCGAAAGAGAGATACCTGGGAGACGAACTTTCATTGTCCCGTGTGCCAAACTTATCAGGACAGTATTATCAGCATGTAGCTGCCCCAAGACCGCTCCACAGAAGGTCTCGGTATTCTAAAGGCTTTCCTCCGAAGCGTCGAAAACCAAGCCAAGGCGTTTCCGTAAGAAACGATCAGCCGTTCAAGATGACGAACTTCCAGAAGTCACAATTAATATGGCTGATAAGGGAAAGTCGACTCAACCTTCTAGTTCTGACCCCCTCATATCGCATCGTCTAACCCGGTTGCAATCTAAAACCATTAGACAAAAGGACTATCAGAGAATGAATAGAGGACTATCCTCGGATGATGAAGCATCAGATGCCAACTCTACAGTCGCTTCTGACAATACGGTATCTAACCCAGGACGATCCTGCGAGGCATTTATGATTAACACCGAGCAAATGGCCAAAGTTCTCGAGGATGCTCTAGCCAAGCAAAAAGAGAACTTCAAGTTCGAAATGGAAATGGCTATGCTGCGGATAAAGGAAGAGTATGACCAACAGCTCCGAGCTTTGTTAGGTCAGATTGGTGAATCCAGCCGTCGTAACAATGTCGATCAAGCAGGTGGCGATTCAGATGTAGACGAACACTTTAACGCCCATAACCCCCATGTGGACCAAAACGCTGGGGTGATTCTGCTGAGGATAATAACGTTAGGAGTGTCCCCACTAATGATGACAACATTGGGGGTGACCCCGTTTCTCTCAGAAATCGTCCAAAGCGTGATACGGGCGAGGACAAGAAGATGAAAGACCTCGAGAGCAAAATCAACGTTCTGATGTCTGCTCGAGATGTGAAGAAGTCCTGTATTCCGTGCCCTTATCCAAGAGAGTGGGAGTCGATCACGTATCCGGCGAAGTTCAACCTGATCAACTTCACGTCATTCGACGAAAAGGGTTCCCCCACTCAACACTTGATTTATTTCAAGTCCCACTTAGGAGTGATATTTGACAATGAGTCTTTGATGGTCCGGTCATTTGTTGGTACCCTTCGCGGGTCTGCCTTCGATTGGTACCGTCATCTCAAGCCTGGAAGCATCAACAGTTGGGACGATATGGAAAGCTCATTCCTTACTGTCACGCCCCGAAACTGCAGCGGAAATTCATAAAATATGGGGTATGTGACAGCAGCGATCCGTGCACGAGACAAGTCTTATGCACGAGTCAAGCCTGGCAATTCATATCACATAGTTTATTTTCAAAATATTCATAAACCTGCTGATGATAGAAATCAGAGCAACTATATATATATAATCGGTACTTACAGCCCACAAGCTCACCGTTATAAGCGTTTTTACAAAACAAAACAAAATATGCTGAAGGTAACATCAACAAGAAGAGGCTCTCCATATAACGCCTCTCAGCCAAAAGCTCAAACCAAAAATTCGGCTAATATGAAGCTACGTCGGATCTGAAAAAAAAATTTAAAAACAACGGAATGAGCTAGCGTTCAGTGAGAACATTTCCCACTAGAGTTCCTAGATAACTAACAAAATAGTAACAAGAATAGTTCTCAGAAATTAACAAATTTTAAGTTTTACATGAGAAATTCACAGATAGCAGAATACGATCCAAATATCGTAATATTGTCATTTTTAAGAAAGAATACAACAATTATATTTTTTTTCTCATGTGCAACTGAATAAACTGTGAAATTTCTTGAAATCAAACCCTTTTTGAATCAAGATAAACATTAAGAAGAAAAAGAACTTCTAATTTGTATAAAATCAGAGAATTGTTGTTTTCTTAATTTCACAGTCAATTATCAGAATCTTATTTCTCGATGAGTATTTCATGAATGCAAAAGTCATCTCATAGGTCACACTAAGGCTACGAATTTTAGCCCAGTAGCAAGGGAATGCGTAAACCGCATCAGATAACAGATAATTCCCGGGAACCGAATGCACCTAACACTGTCATAGGCTACCGGCCAAATACAGAGGGGCCAGAATAGATTTCAAAAGGGCCAATACAGAAGGGCCAAGGCCAATACAGAAGGGCCAAATAAAGGTGCATTCACCATATAGCAGGCAGAACTAATCCATAGTGGACTATTTGAGGGTTTGAAAACATCAAGCTCACATGTCAAATGAGAAATACTTTACATATCAGAATTTGCAGATATTTCAGATGAAATTGACAAGGTAAAACTTCTCATTTCTGTTAAAACAGTTTACGGATATTTACTTTTCCTTTTATCAGATACTAAACCACGAAAAATCTTTGAATCCGTTAAACTGTTGAAATACGTTCCAATATTTCATCAAAAACTTTCAGATATAACAAAGTCCACAATTATTTGAAAATTGCACGAGAGCCAAAGTTATTTTTCATATTTTACATAAAGATCAAATTAGCTTTTGATATATTGTACGAGGCTAACATCGTATTATAGGATAGACCACAACAGAAATAGGTCAAATCTTTATATACATGAAAAGACATATTATTTATTTATTTATTTTTATCACAAGATAAATCAAATATAAAACTCATGCAATTTCATATTATAAAATACTAGTGAGAAATGAACTCACCTCTAGTGGTCATGACTTTCTCAAAATATTAGTCTCCCAAATATCAACCAGAACCTATAATGTAAGATATATGACTAATTATTAATTCAGAACAAATATATATTATAGGTAAATCAATTCATAATCTAGAGTCTAATAAACTCAAATATAATCAATAATGATTAAATTCTACAGTACATATGAGCTTATTATTAACTTTAGCAATTTATCAAAATTTTATAACTCTCACATACTAGCTTTTTGGATTTCCTAGTAATTTATAGTAATGCAGGGGGTTATAGGAAATTTATCAAGTCTACAAGTTATTGTTTATTCCTCAGACTGGACTTATTTACAAATTGAGTAAATAACAGGGGTTTAACAGATATTTTCCAGCCAATTTCAACCATAACTCAGTTACTAAGGTCTGTTAGAAATTTTTTTCATGATTTAGGGGCTTAAAGTGAATTTTTCCTCCCTTTATAAAAAAAAAACCTAACTGATCATCTTCCTCCTCCCCTTCTTCGTTTCTTCTTCTTCTCTTTTTTTTTCGGGTTCCGTCTTTTCCTCTTTTTCTTTCGGTTTTTCTCCTCTCTCTCTCTCTCTCTCTCTCTCTCTCTCTCTCTCTCTCTCTCTCTCTCTCTCTCCCCCCTTTCCATGTCTCGCCAAAACCCCAAGACCGCGGCAAGGGGTCGCCGACGACTAGGGATGGCCGGTGGTCAGACCTCGCCGAACTAGGGTTAGTTATTTCTTTTTTTTCAGTTTGTTTCATGAATCCAAAACACACAAAAGAATCCTTTTTGCAAACCCTAGATTCTTTTTAAGTTCATACTCATAACAATTTAATTCCCTTATTCATTCTATTTTGATTGATTTACTAAGATTTCTATAACAATTCTCTTCTAAATCAAGAAATTATCATAGAAAAGGGTTTATACCTTTGGATTAACGTGAACAACTTTGGGTGAAATCCTCTCTTTTCCCTTCCCTTTTCACTGTCTTCTTCCTCTTCTTCTTCTTCTTTTATTTTTTTTTTTTCGTTTTTTAACCTGAATTTATCACATTTCCTCCCCTTCTTATACTGTTGGAAGGCGGTGATATTATAGAAATCTAGTAAGCAGTGGAGGAAATCTCCACCACAAAATTTTATAATATTTTATTTATTTATATTTTTTTCTTTTTTTTTTGTTGGCTATTACACTCTCCCCACCTAATAAAAAGTTTCGTCCTCGAAACTTAACATACCTATATCTCGAAGAGCTCTGGATATCTCTCTCGCATAGAATCTTCAGTCTCCCAAGTAGCTTCTCTTTCAGAGTGATTCTTCCACTGAACTTTTACATATTTGATTATTCGGTGTCGGAGTAGTTGTTCTTTATAATCCACAATACGTTCTGGTCTTTCTTCATAGGTCAAATCTGGCTTGAGCTCTACTGGAGACAACTCAACGATCTCATTTGGATATATGAAATACATCATGTACTCCAGACAGGGCTGGTGGTAATGCCAATCTGTACGCCACTGGACCAATACGCTCTAGAATTTCAAAAGGACCAATGAATCTCGGGCTTAACTTCCCTTGTATTCAAAATCTTTTTACTCCTCGGGTAGGCGAAACCTTTAAGAAAACATGATCGCCTACTTGAAAATGAATAGGAGACCTACACTTCCTTCCATAAAGAAGCTCATATGGTGCCATCTGAATGCTAGCTTGGTAGCTATTATTATATGCAAACTCGGCCAAAGGCAGATAATCTTCCCACGATCCTTTCATCTCCAGAACACAACATCTCAACATATCTTCTAGTGCTTGAATTGTCCGTTCTGATTGGCCATCTGTCTGTGGATGATAAGCTAAGCTGAAATTTAGTTTAGTCTGCAGAGCTCTATGCACACTTTTCCAGTATTCTGATGTGAACCGAGGGTCTCGGTCAGAAACTATTGATATTGGTACACCATGTAACCTTACTATCTCATTAATGTACATCTTAGTCAGTAATTTCTTTGATGATGACATCGATGTATCAATCAGGACGCTCTTTAAGAAGAAACAGGAAGACGAAGAGACGGTCGACGATTTCGTCAAGCGCTTCCGAAATAAGGCTATGAATTGCTAAAGATCCGGTGACAGAGGATTTTATCCTCCAAACCTGTCATAATAACCTGTCCATTGATATTTTAAAAGTTATGGGAGTAGCATCGTCCAAGGTTTGGAAAGAGTTGAAAGTGCACGGAGAGCAGACCGAACGTTTCCTCAGAAGGAAGAAAATCGAGAGAAGCCAACCAACGACTAACCCTCCGAACTCGAACTTCGCTTCCCGTAGTAAAGGAAAGGCACCTGCAGCAGCTGTTGAGGTTAATCAGACGTCACAGCAGCAACCCCGGAGACAGCGAAAGACTTCGGACCCAAGACTCCAAAAAAATACTCCTTTAAGGATGAAGACGTTCCGGCTATTTTTAAATCCCTCCTTGAAAACAACATGATCAAGCTCTCACATATTACAAATCAGGAGTGTTTGCGTCAAAAGTTACTTTCCTCATTGTATAACTCATTACAACTTTGGTCGTTACAATAAGATCGAAAGATTGATCTTTTTATAAGATTCTTTACACAATGAAAGAAATAAAAATTACAACTCTATCAAACAAACGCAGGGAGATCGTTTATCGGTCTTCTGTTTGTGTTGGATCTTCACCTGTGTCGGGGACGTCGATATCCGTAAACCGCCTACGGATCGGATCCGGTTGTTGGAAAATTGATAGAGCTCCTACTTCACCAAGAAAGTATTCGCTTGAAGCGCTAAAATCGACCAAGCGAAATCAGTAGCCCATCTCGAGATTAAGACGAAGCCTAATCTTGAGGAACGGACGGACGGGGCTTCAGATCTCTCGAACTCTCCCTCTTTATGCTGAAGAACTTTGTCAAGATTAGTTAGCCTCCTCTGAAATTCATGCTCCTTTGACTACTCAATCCGGCAACACCTCGCCCTTTTGATAAAATTCTGTCCCTGTGAAATGAGCCCCTGGGCCTGTATTTATAGGCTTTGGTTGGGGGGTTTTCGGATGAGAACGATGGATTTGGCATTATCTTCAGTTGATAACGGCCTAACCATGTTTGTAAATGAGATTAAGTCGGTTAGGAACCCCTAGAACAGATAAGACGTGCGAAAAACCGCTTTAAAACCGAAAAACGCATCCGGGGGTCGAAACAGCGCTAGGGGGCGCGGGTCGGACGGATCCGCGCGGGTCGGTCAGATCCGACCCGCGCGAGCACGAGGAATCCGGTTTTCTGTGTGTTCTTTTGACTTTCCGACTTTCCGGGACTTGTAGTTTCTCCCGTTTCGCGTATTTGGCTGACTTGCACGCTTCGTTGCGGGACTGACCGTCGAACGCGCGTTGGTTGACATGCGCGCGTTGGTTGACGTGCGCGTGTTGATTGATGCACGCGTGTTGACCGACGCGCACGAACTGATTGACGCACGCGTGTTGACCGACACGCGCGTGTTGACCGACGAGCGCGCGCTGACCGACGCGCACGAACTGATTGACGCGCACGTGTTGACTGACGCGCACGAACTGATTAACGAGCGTGCGTTGACCGATGCGCACGAACTGATTGACGCGCGTGTGTTGACACGTGCACGAGCTGATTGACGCGCGCGTGTTGACCGACGTGCGCGAACTGATTGACGCGCGCGTGTTGACCGACGCGCGCGTGTTGACCGACGCGCGCAAACTGATTCACGCGCGCGTGTTGACCGATGCGCGCGAGCTAATTGACGCGTGCGTGTTGACCGACGCGAGGGAGCTGATTGACGAGCGCGTGTTGACCGACATGCGCGAACTGATTGACGTGCGTGTTGACTGACGCGCGCGAGCTGATTGACACGCGCGGGTCACTTGGTTCGTCATTTCGCTTCATGCGCTTGACGACAGATAATCCTCTTAAACTCGGATAACGACGTTCGTTGTCTTCTCTCCGTCTCGAGCTGTGTACGGACACCTATAGGCATTTTTAGACGCCTACAAGGAGGAAGCTAACAACACTTCAGATCCAAAGTATTGTGCGTATCACAGGAGGATCCTTCATCCCACTAAGGCTTGCTTCACTCTCAAGAACAGCATTCAAGCATTGGTTGACGCCGGCCTCATAACGCCAAAATAAGCCGAATGAGAACAGTAGACTCCGACGAGTATAAGAGTATAAACTGCTTCTCTCATGACTCCAACGAGTATAAGAGTATAAACTGCTTCTCTCATGACTCCGAAGAATATACGAGTATAAACTGCTTCTCAATCCTCTGATGAGTATAAGAGATTAAACTGCTTCTCTGTAATACTTCAATAGGTATATGAGTCTAAAATGTTTCTTACCTTTGACGGGAAGTTCCTAGAGAATTTTATACATAATATTCTTAAGGATAACCCGATCACGCAACTAAGTACAATATTAGATCCAGTTTCGCAAAGAAAGCTGGGGGTGGATAATTCATGTAACGAAAAGTTCCCGAAAGAATGTTATATGGTGTATTCTTAGGGATAACTCGATCACTACAAAAAAAATGATGAATAAGAAACTCCTACCTGGACTCTAAATGCTTCCAAGAGTGAAACACATCCAATTGCCGGGATTAATTTCACCAACTTCCAAGCACTCTTTTACTGAGACGAGATTTGATCACTTCGTTGGATCAATCTTTCCTCACAAAAAACTCCCACTGGTGTTTGATGATTCACAATCTTCCACCACATAAGTCCTCACTGATCAAGTTAATTAACGGTGGGTCCACTAAAATTCTTTCTGGTTCAATCCACTCAAACTCTCGCTATGTCTGTGCACTCAACACTTCTATTGTTAGAGTCCGTACATAATGCTTAAAATTTTAATCTGCTAATCCTTGACAATTGTCAAACCCCTTCGTGTTAAGTCCTTATCACTTGATACCAAGAACCCCCATTGAGTGATCGGTACAAGTCAACACTCACACTCCCGCTGTCTACCTGGTCAAACCTTGACCACAACCAAAATCCCCTCTCGATTCCTTTAATGAACAAGAGGTCTACAAATTGAGCGATCAAACCTATAAAAGTTAGGATTGTCTCAAAACTCCTCAATCGGTCAAACCTTTCTACAGTTAGGACCACGACCAAAATCCCCTCTCGATTCCTTTCATGAACGAGAGGTCCACTTTCAAATCGAGTGATCGAATCTCCCTACAGTTAGGGTCACCTCGAACCTTCCTACAGTTAGGATCAAAATCGTAATTCACTCTCGATAAACGAGAAACTCATCTTTAGTTTAGTGATCAAACCTTCCGACAGTTAGGATTATCCGAATCTTTTCGATTCTCGGAGTGGAGATTCCACTCTTAGTTTCACCTTCCCGGATTCTTGAAGTGGAGTTCTCACTTTGAGTTTCCTTTACAACTGGAGATAGAATATAAAATTCTTCCTCTTCAGTTTTGGAAGAGAGAATATAAAAATTTTCCTAATATAAAATTCTTCCTCTCCCGCATCGGGTTTGTCTTTACCCCAAAAGATGACCTAGAAATAAAATATAAAATTCTTCCTCTCCAGCATCGGGGAATTTTATCCCGAATCCTAAGTAGGGATAAGTCAACGCCTAACACGCGTTGCCGATTTAATCTTTCGCCGAGTGAAAAAGATCAGAATCCAAGTTTGGAGAATTTTATCTCGAAGCCTAAGTAGAGATAAATCAGCGCTTAACACGCGTTGTCGGTTAGTCTTTGACCGTAAAAAGGACAAAAACCCTCATATTCGACATTGTGGCAGACCGTTATTAATAACGCCAAAATCCGCCCCTTACCCGCGCGGAAAATTTTATCCTAAATCCTAAGTAAGGATAAGTCAACGTTTAACACGCGTTGCCGGTTTACTCTTTCGCCGAGTAAAAAAGATACCAGAATCCAAGTCTGGGGAATTTTATCCCGAAACCTAAGTAGGGATAAATCAGCGTTTAATTTACCGGTTAGTTCTAGACAACAAAAAAGACAAAAAAGAATAAAAGCCCACATATTCGATATTGTGACAGGTTGTTAATCATAACGCCAAAATCCGTGCTTCACACGCACGGGGAATTTTATCCTGAAATCTAAGTAGGGATAAGTCAACGCGTAACACGCATTACCGGTTTAGTCTTTCCCCGAGTGAAAAAGACATCAGAATCCAAATCTGAAAAATTTTATCCCGAAACCTAAATAGGGATATGTCAGCACTTAACACGTGTTGTCGATTAGTTTTTTACCGTAAAAAAAACAAAAACCCACATATTCGATATTGTGGCAGGTTGTTATTCATAACGCCAAAATTCGTGCTTCACACAGCACGGGAAATTTTATCCCCAAGTCTAAGTAAGGATAAGTCAACGCCTAACACGCGTTGCCGGTTTAATCTTTCCCCGAGTGAAAAAGACACCAGAATCCAAATCTGAAAAATTTTATCCCGAAGCCTAAGTAGGGATAAATTAGCGCTTAAAACGCGTTGCCGGTTAGTTCTTAATCGTAAAAAGAACAAAAACCCACATATTCGACATTGTGACAGGTTGTTATTCATAACGTCAAAATCCGTGTTTTACACGTACGAAGAATTTTATCTCGATCCCTAAATAGAGATAAGTCTACATCTGACCCATGTTACCGGGTAGCCTATTCCCGTAACAATGATAAAACCTACGTATTCAATATTGTAGCACTAAGAGGGTTAACTCTCTTAATACAACGTTACATACGGAACGGACTTGAACAATCTGCATGCTAGCCCGACTCAAACAGTAGTCGGTAAAGGCTCATTAAATCCGTTGATGGCTGAGTGTTTGTCAAAAATCCTATATATGCGAAAGTCACTGATACACCAGCTTCATTAGTTGGTCTCGTGACTTGAGCATCCAACAACTTCAGGATAAGATCTATACATGCAGACGAAACAACTTTAATAGTTGGTCCTGCAACCCGACATTTGGGACCGTCACGCTCCAATACCTTAAGAGTTTAAACTATGTAGACTCCAGCAAACGTATAAGTATAAACTGTGTTAACACCGGTCAACGTATTACAGCGAAAATTAACGCCGGTCAACGCGTTACAGCGAAAGTCAACGTCGGTCAATGTGTTGCAAATGGAAGTCAACGCCAAACAACGCATTGTAAATGAAAGTCAATGTCGGTCAGCGCGCTGATGACTTTGCCAAAATAAGGCGCAAGATAAAATTTTCAGGTCAAAGGATGATTCCAGGGAGTTCAATCACATTCAGATACAAACTCCCGACAAAGATGATCAATTCAAAGTCAACTCAATGACACGAGCTAGGTTCAGAAACTTACACACCAACTTTAGTTTCAGATTTTCACAATGGTCAGACGATAAACGCAGCGTCGGAAAAACTTCTTCTATTCGATAAAATACTGAATAGACTGAAGGCTGAAAAAGTCAAGAATTGAAGTCATTCACAGGTCCTTCTACCCGATCTCCTCGACAAAATACTGAAAAGATTGAACACAATGTCTATCTTATCCAAAGCATTCCAGACTCCTTCATAAAAAATAAGTCTGAAATACTTTGAAGAGGGTATTTGTAGGCGTCTAAAAATACCTATAGGTGTCCGAATACAGCTCGAGACGAAGAGAAGACGATGAACGTCATTATCCAAGTTAGCGAGGATTATCCGAGTCAAATGGGATCATCTAAAGTCGTAAAGAAGCTAACAAACGCACGAAGCAAGTCAACGAAACGTACAAGTCGACTAAATGACAAAAGACACAAAACGATAAAAAATACAAGTCCGAAAAAGTTAGAAAATGCTAAAACAACGAGTCCAGCAAGTGCCCAGACTGACTTAGCCAAGGCCGAGACAGGCCTGGCTGTCTCAGCTAAGACCGAGACAGGCCTGGCTGTCTCAGCTAAGGCCGAGCCAGCTCGACCTGTCACGCACAGGCCCGGGACACCAGGGTCTATCCTGCATCCAACTGCCCGAAAACGTGTATTTTGGTGGTTTCTTCGGGATTTCTTCATTCCTAAGCTTCCCAACTGACTTGATATCATATCTAAGAGTGCTTAGGCCGTTGTCAACTGAAGATATGATCAAATCATTCATTCTTATCCAAATACCCTACATCCGAAGCCCTATAAATACGAGCCTAGGGCTTTTTCTTTCACTGGGGGCGGAGTTTTAATCAAGAGGGCGAGGTGTTGCTGGTTTTGTGAGTCAACCCCCACGAATTTCAGAAGAGGGTAGGTAGATCTTGGCGATACCCTATGCATAAAGAGTGGATTTCGAGAGATCTGAAGCTCCGTTCTCCCCTTCCTTGAGATCAGACATGGACTTGATCTCGAGAAGAGTCGTAATCTCGCTTGGTCGAGATTATCACTTCAGCGATTGCTTCCTTTGTGAAGTAAGAGCTCTGATTAATCATTCTATCAACTGGATCCGATCCGTAGGCGGTCCACGGATAAACCCCGGCACAGGCAAAGATCTCACGCAAACAGAGACTAATAAATAGGATATGCGTGTTGTTTGAAAGAGATTGTAATTTTTATTTTTATTGTATAAAGATCTTATAAAAAGACCAATCTTTTTTTGAATTTGTTGTAACGATCAAAGTTGTAATGAGTTATACAATAAAAAAAACAATTTCTGACCCAAATAGACTTTCATAGGACTGTGAAAAAAAACAGAGGTGAGTCCCTAGAAATTTTTGAAATCCTCAAAAGAACATGAAACATATGACAACTTGCATATAACAGAATGGGGAAGAACTTCATGACTAGCTTCTTGAGAAGATTTTACGTCTTACTAAACCACTGATTTAAGTAAACAATGGATCTACATGAGTTTTCTATATAAGTCCAGTATTTTCACCACAGAAAAAGGTAAAATAATTATAATTCAAAGAAACAGGATCAACTATTACAAATATTAGGTGGGTCTAATAGGGTATCAAGAAAGGTATATAGTTATCCATAATAAAGGTCAATTTCCACTTTTGTTAAGAACAGAATCTTAGGGAAAAACTAAACAGTAAAGGGCATATCTGCCTCGTGCATAATGCAGGCCAAGATATTGGCAATCATGTAGAGTAGGCCACTGAACGCTAGAACAACAATGTGGTGAACCAGCAACAAAATTATAGAAGATGGCAGAAGATGGTATGCTAAAGTGCTAATTAAAAGCTCCAAGCTATAAGGACAATAGAGAGTAGAGCTTGTAAAGTAATTTATAACTTGGTAGATACCAAATAATCCATGTTAGTGACATACCAACTTTTCTTGGTATTCATAACCTCTTGTCTCAATGATGAATTTTGGAGGATTATTCTTCTGAAAGAGACTTCAAATGCAAACAATTAAGCAAAATGGAAAATTATTAGCTTTAAAGTTCAAAGTCATTAAAATATAAAAAAGTATTAGTAGTAGAAAACATTGAAACTTCAAAGACCAGAAAGGTGAAGCAAACTTTCTTCTAAGAAGATAGCAGAGGGGAACAAAAATGAGAATCAAATCTCTCTTAGCTGTCCAAATGAGAAATTTTGTATAGCCAAGATATTTCATCAAATAATAACATGATATCAAAATGACAACCAAACTTCCAGATAAACCCTACACAACTGCAGCAACTTTGCACTGGCAGGACAGTCTTATAAGGAAAAGTTATCTACAAGACAAAGCCAAGAAATACATTAAAAACATAAAACTTGGGTTGAAAATTCCCAAGTTTGGAGATATTTGCGACATCCAGATGCTTATGATTAAAGAAACGGATAATAGAACTAGGCCCACTGTGAAGTCTGTTCGGAGTAAAAATTTGCAGAATCACTATTAGCAATACTGAAATTTGTTTATTCATTAATCATATAATAAAAATTAACAAAAGCTGTGGGTTTCTCGTAATGAACTATAATAACCTGGTGGAACAGCATCTGGGTGCCAGATTATCTCAATAAATTACTGAAGCAAGGTTTCCTTACAAATAGACAATGATCCGCTTCAATTTTCATAATTCAAGGAAGGTATGGTTTATTGTCAAATATCTAGCGGATATTTATGTTATCGGTACATTCAGATATCTTTCAATAGGCAGGATAGAGGATATGAATTGACAGATCCGATTACAACCAACTTTAATTCCTTCTGTCAAACAAAAGTTTAATGAAGGATATTTAATACATATTAATATGTCTTGATGAGAAATACTCACAACATACAGGCAGATAAATGAAAGGGTTTAGTAATCACATACCTGGTGCTGCTCTTTAGAGATTGATGACCATCACAGATCGGTTTAAAACAATTTAGAACAGAAGGGCCTCCATAGAGTATTTATATTTCAAAGGCAGAGTCCAGAAAGTGTTGATTTTTTGCATATCCAGCTGCAACGTCATGGTCAGGATAGAGGCAACTGTTGCTAGCGCCGGAAAGCTCGGAGAAGGAAGATAATATTGAATGAATGTATCACAATCAATAACCATTTACCCAATATACCTCCCACCAAACGAGCACCAAAGTTTGGTCCGGTAAAATTGACAAACTCTCATCAAAACAATAAATTCAATGTGTTTTCTTCATTAGAAGGTGTAATACTTAAAGTTATCAGTACAATCTTGTTTTATGCCCTTCCAGTTACCCTATACAGAAGGAACATCTCTAATCTTTGCTTTACAATATATTGAATTAGGAATCACAAAGCCTCCTTCACACCATCTAAATACACACGGCACTGTATTGTCGTCTTCCCAACCCGAAACCCTGGGACCACAGTAAACCCTACTTTGGCTGGGATTGCCCTCCTATAATCAGCACTTCTTACAATATTCTCCATGAAAACCATAGAGAATTCTGTTCCCCTTTCCACCTGAAATATCTCAACCTCCGGATCATATGCATGTGCCAACTTGTGAAGCGACCATAGCGAGCTGGCCATGTCTACAAATAACTGATAAAGTGGATTTGCAGGTTCCAGCGAGCCCAAAGAACTGTCCAAATTTCCAAAAATAGAACTCTCCGTGCACTTACTGATGAGCTGCACATACTTGCTCTTGCAGAATCTGGCAAAACCACAATCTGGGTTTCTTCTCACAGACTCTAATGGATCAACTGCCAAATTCTGGATGAATTGCCTCAATGAATTTCGTCTTTGATCGCTCCCATCACTCAAATTCAGATCAATCTCGCACTCTTCACTGCAAAATGTATCGGAATCGAATCCATCAAACATCCCTAAGCAAATGTAGGATAGGATGGCATACCGTTTATGTCCTGGTTTGGCATAACAAACATCTGGGTAAATCAAATCCACTCCGGAGTCGAAATCCCAGCCCGACTTGTTTGTTAACCTAATCAGCAACTTGCTCAATCTATGCATGGACCGACAACAATCCTTAACCACAGAATCAAACAACCCCACCGACAGCAAAGGCTCGACCTTGTCAACAGTCGGCAAACAATTACTCTTGAGCTTCCTGGTGAGCTTGGAATTCACGGCCTCAGACTCCTTGAGCCGCTGCTTCAACGCAGCAGTCTCGGCATCCTTGCGGTCGATGTCGGCCTGCAGCCTATTGAACACTGTCTCGAACGTCCTAAGAAGGGTTTGGTTCTCTTGAACCTGGGCTTCCCAAAAGCCAGGGTTTTGATAACAAGAGTTTGAAATAGAGCTAAAATTAGGGTTAGGGTTAGGGTTATAATACTCGCGCTTGAGATCGGAGATCCTCTGGAGGTGGCAGACGGCGGCGCGATCGGCGGGCTGAGACGGCGTCGGGATCGAAGCGGGGTAGTGGGCGGCCTGCGAGCTAATGCAGCGTAGGCGGCCGCGGTAAAGGAGGCGACGGCCGGCGAGGACGGAGACGGGGCGACGCATCGGGCTGGGCCTCTGGCGGGAGCGGATCAGGCTGAGGACGACGAACCCTCCTGACCCGTAAATAGACCGGTCTCAGGCGGGGGGCGGATGGCATGACGGAAGGCGGCTCTTCAGTTCTCCTCCTCAACCCCTATCTTACGCTCTCGCTCTTCTTCCCTCCTCCTTCGCGAAGATTCGGATGTCTTGGTCCTCACCACTAGGGGACTCAATCATATCCCGATTCAAGCATTTTGTGATTGATCAGAGAAAGCAGCATTTTCCTTCCCTTCCGTTCCCTTCCTTTCTTTGGGTCCAGGTCGAAATCGATCGAGGCAGAGAATTCACCAGGGAGCGTTAGAGAACTTGAGGACCGAGCTATAATAACTAATGAGGGATTGCCCTCCTGTCTGAGAGAAGAAGTTTCTTTTTTTAACCTTGCTTCTTTGCCTTCGGAGGGTTGCTGCTTTAGTTTAAAGGAGAGCGTTTAATTAAATTTCCGTGCATTTGATTTATATATATAGTATTATGTATGATATATATATATATATATATCTATATCATTAGTTATATATATATTATATTCAATGAGAATTTAAAAGGATCATCCTTATCATAGGAGGATGAATTTCCTCCTTGACGCCTCTAAATCACATGATTGGAGCGACAATTGTGGATGATAACTGCTCTCCGTTGGGGACTTGATCTAGCATATTCTAAAACCCCCAACAGCACAAGTTGGGGTGAACCCGTCAGTCGTGTTGATCCTTTCTCCACTCGTATCAATTTTAACGGTTCTTGATGATAATAGAACTTCTTCACAAGGCTCGATGGAGGGGTCAACGACGAGCATTCACCCCAAACTGACTGTGTGAGTGGGTTTAGATATGTGATCAGTTCAACGGAGCGGATCATCCACATATCGCCTCAATATTGTGATTTTAGACGCGTCCACGGAGGAAAATCCTCCAAAATAGACTTAAGTATTACCCAATATTAATATCTATATATATATATTATACTATACCATAATATATCTAACTTTAGTATATATAATACTTAGTATTATAATACTATACTATATATAGGTAATATATTATATATAATATTGAGATTAATGGGTATCCTGTCATAGAGGGGGGAGATTTCCTCCTATGACGCCTCTAAAATCACATGGATTTGAGCCGACATTGTGGATGCATCCGCTCCGTTGAACTTGATCTACATATTCTAAAACCCCAATACACCAAGTTTGGGCGTGAACCCTCGTTTGATCCTTCATCCACTCGTACAATTTTAACGCGTTCTTGACATGAATAGAACTTTACATTGCCTCGATGGCAGTCAACAACGACGATTCACCCCCAAACTTGGTGTGTTGCGTTGGTTTGTAGAATATGTTAGCATCAAGTTCACGGACGGATCATCCACAATATCGCTCAATCATGTGATTTTAAGAGAGCCTTATCGTCAAGAGAAATCCCTCCTATGACAAAGATACCCGATTAATTCCGTATATATATATGTCAGATATATATATAATATATATATATATATATATATATATATATATATATATATAATATATAGTATATATATATATATTTTATGTACTGAAGAAGTTTCTTTTTTTAACCTTGCTTCTTTGCCTTCGGAGGGTTGCTGCTTTAGTTTAAAGGAGAGCGTTTAATTAAATTTCCGTGCATTTGATTTATATATATAGTATTATGTATGATATATATATATATATATATCTATATCATTAGTTATATATATATTATATTCAATGAGAATTTAAAAGGATCATCCTTATCATAGGAGGATGAATTTCCTCCTTGACGCCTCTAAATCACATGATTGGAGCGACAATTGTGGATGATAACTGCTCTCCGTTGGGGACTTGATCTAGCATATTCTAAAACCCCCAACAGCACAAGTTGGGGTGAACCCGTCAGTCGTGTTGATCCTTTCTCCACTCGTATCAATTTTAACGGTTCTTGATGATAATAGAACTTCTTCACAAGGCTCGATGGAGGGGTCAACGACGAGCATTCACCCCAAACTGACTGTGTGAGTGGGTTTAGATATGTGATCAGTTCAACGGAGCGGATCATCCACATATCGCCTCAATATTGTGATTTTAGACGCGTCCACGGAGGAAAATCCTCCAAAATAGACTTAAGTATTACCCAATATTAATATCTATATATATATATTATACTATACCATAATATATCTAACTTTAGTATATATAATACTTAGTATTATAATACTATACTATATATAGGTAATATATTATATATAATATTGAGATTAATGGGTATCCTGTCATAGAGGGGGGAGATTTCCTCCTATGACGCCTCTAAAATCACATGGATTTGAGCCGACATTGTGGATGCATCCGCTCCGTTGAACTTGATCTACATATTCTAAAACCCCAATACACCAAGTTTGGGCGTGAACCCTCGTTTGATCCTTCATCCACTCGTACAATTTTAACGCGTTCTTGACATGAATAGAACTTTACATTGCCTCGATGGCAGTCAACAACGACGATTCACCCCCAAACTTGGTGTGTTGCGTTGGTTTGTAGAATATGTTAGCATCAAGTTCACGGACGGATCATCCACAATATCGCTCAATCATGTGATTTTAAGAGAGCCTTATCGTCAAGAGAAATCCCTCCTATGACAAAGATACCCGATTAATTCCGTATATATATATGTCAGATATATATATAATATATATATATATATATATATATATATATATATATATATAATATATAGTATATATATATATATTTTATGTACTGAACATTAATTAATCTAATGTGTTAGTTTAATAAACGGTTAAAAATCCGTTTAAAAATGAGCTGGTGGATGGTGGGGGCTTATTAGTTGGATTTGGAAGCTGTATATATCTATTCCTCTATGATAAACTCCCCAGTATTGTTTGTTATTGCGCAGAAGGGACCAAACGGTACGTCAGAGAAACACTTGTTAATGTAGCTGTTGATCTTTTTTTTTAATTAAATATCTCTCTGTACTAATAACTTTTTTGATAGAAAGTTTCGGTCACCCTGCCAGCGAAGGCTGGCATCATATGAGATTGCAAGGTATTCTTGGCACGGTACTCTAATCACTAACGTAAAATACCGACAAATTAAAAACAAGAGCGAGGCGTAAAAGTCAATAGTAACAACAACAATAATAATTTAAAGAGTTAAGTGAACCATCTTGCTCGTCGAAAACTAAGCTGAGCACACCAGACACGGCTGCTGATGATAGCACTGCAGTGCAGGCTTAGCAAAGAGTGGTCGTCTCCCTCAAGGGATGAGGTTGAAGCGCTGTATATCCCATTAATTAAATTAAGTTAAATAATATCGCATCCATCCAGCAATCACACGACAAGCTTTCTATCTCTGGTGGACTGAAAAAGATGAGCACTAATTGACAGGTTTTGCACTCATAAAGAGACCCCACCGTGTCTATGGCTTGTCCGATGGGTACACATTAGAGCCCTTGTTAACGTCTAAGCGTTGCCTAAATAACAAACTGTTTGTTAAAAGAATACCACATCAAAATGCCATAAAGTTACTCTTGACGCACAAATTATGCGCTAATGAAAATTCATATAACTTGTTACGGCTGGGGGCTCATTTCTTCTGCCATTTGCATTCATTTACAACGCAGATCATATCTTAAACCACTCGGACCCATAAAGCCCGCTAGTTTGCACGATCAGTAAAAGGATTGCTTCTTTCAGAAATTAAGTATTAATTGTATGCCATATTGGACTGCTGTCGTTGTTGTGCTTGTTGACCGTGAAGGAAACTTGGGTTATTTTATTCCTAATAATAATGTCTAATGAGTTAGTTACAGCTAATGACCCCCATTAGAAAATCGTGCCTTGGACCTATTGATGAATTCTCACCTACACTAACTAATACTAATATAATAATGTCAGAAGTAACATGATGAACCTACTGCATAATTGCTTGCACCAAAAATAAGCTCAAAAGTTGGAAATGAGTTCCTCAAAAAAAAAATTCTTTTACCTGCTATCAGAATCAGGTTCAGTTACCTGTTTTATCTAACTAGCAGGTACCTTTCCAATTTAAAACAATATATATCAACAAACGAACACCTAGTTCCGAATTGAAGAATCAAGCAGCAGACAGAAAATGCAGATACAGATTATTATTACCCCTGCTTTCACTCTAATACTATATTGTCAAAGGAACGCATGAGTACTCCTTGGAGATTAGTGTTTTTTACCTCGAGGAAGACCCTAAATCAAAATTGGAGACGCTTAACGCAAGAAGATCCTGAAGCAAATACAAATTTCACCTGCGTTGTGCTTCATGTTCCGCTATAAATGAACTCTTAAAGAATAGGAAAATGCTAATTAGAAGACCAGTTGCTTTGCCCATAAGCATCGCCCAAATTGACTCTATTTATAAAGTATAAACATAGGTCTCACCACGATTTAGGGGATAAGGTGCCAACATTAAAAACTAGCTTAGGTTTACTTGCAGAACTAGTGCAGGTACATGTTATGCCAAAGAAATATTAAAAAATACATTGGCGCAGTTACAGGTTGTTGAATGGAAGATTACAATAATATTTGATACTAACAAAAATAGCTAGGAGATAGATGACTCATATTTCCGACTAAAGAGAAAAAAACATAAGAATTTTAAGAGTTGCAGCCGATTGCACCATTGGATGTGGTACAGAGCTGGCAATCAAAGTAAGTTGGCCAGGAAAAAAGTCTAAAAAGTCTCAGATCCAGTACAAACATAAGACAGGTCATGCATTGATGAACAGCAGTGTATATGATACAATGAAAATAATAATTGAAAATAACAGGAAAAGAAACTTATTTGAGAGCTTGAGGGTATAAGCTGGATCTCCAATCAGACGAAAGCCTCCCGCAAATGAGTGGGCAACTTGAGTTCAGGGTCATCCTCACCCAGAGGCGAGAAATAATGCTCAACCATATCATCTGATACATGCTTCAAAGTTGGAGGATCCCACTGCACATACAAAATTCAAAATTAGGCCATGGGGGACAAAAAAAAATTCACATAAAAATCAATAAGCATGGAACTTAATACCTTTGGAGCCAGGTCCTTCTCAACTAATCTTGCCCGAACACCCTGCAGAAATCCAGAAGCAGGTTAGAGCCCGGCTAGATGTGAACAACACTTTTTACAGCTGATTTTAAAGAGCAAATGGGTTACGTACCTCACAGAAGTCGGGTGAGGCCTCTTTTGAAATTCCATGTAGTGTCATTCGGTACTCACGAACAAGGCATTCATCAAGTGTCTGATATCTACCTTCTCTTATCTGTAAATTAGACAGGACAATTCGGCATGCAAGTCCGCAATGAAAAGAATAATAAAGTAACAAATCAAGTTGATTGACTTACAGATCTTAGGGAAACCTTTAAACTCAATGGAGAAGCCTCTTTGAGTTTCTTCAGTGCAGAATTACACCAGTCTTCATTTGACTTAGCTGCCTCTTCTTCCTGAAAAAAAATATAAAGATCAGATGGGAAATATGAGAGTTGTATTCTTGCTGAAATAATCAAAAAGGTAAATCAACTGCAAACGATTTATTGATATTGCAAAGCAAGATTTTGTTCATTTAGGTCATTGCTTCTGTTGATATTATAAATCCAGTAAGTATGAGCATGAAAATGAATTCTAATTTGCATTTGCTATTCCCCCTCAGCAATTATTCCTACCCCTCAGTGATTATTCTTACAGTTACAGAAGCGATAAAAAAAAGAACAAGAAACTAGTTAACTTTCATTTTAATTTTACTCCATGCACTTCATTATATAGAGTTCACATTCTAAAACGTGTCAGGGATCCATTTCTACCCCACCGTATGCATCTGAACACATATTAATATCCCGAGAATAATCATCAGTTGAATGTTGAGATTTAGGACAGCTGAGGGTTGATAACTAAACAGTTAAATGTGGATCAATACACAGCTTTACGCACCTTTGCAGACATGACATGAGTATATCCTCATGAGTACATCCTCCATAATATATACAAGACTGGCTAAAACTAATAACTTTGTTTGCTACATGATAACTGCAAGAATAAAAGAATATGTATGTACAGGTGATATACCTGAGTTACATGAAATAATTAGATAGACATGGTTTATATAAAAGATTGTCACAATGGATATACTCAATCATTCCCATGCTCATCCTAACTCCTAAGCTTCATGAAATCCTGTTATGTTCTCATGCTCGTCAAAAATGCTCTGTAAGTCAATATAGTAGAGTGATGGCTCACCAGAGCGTCAATAATTTCCTCAACTGTTTCCCGGCCAAAACATTTATCAATTACCTCTAGCCTGAACAGAGAGAAACGAAAAACATTTAACAGACAAAAAAAAAATTATATATATATATA